AAGAATATAAAAATCTGAAATAACAAAAATGTACCATGGAGGAAGCTGGGATCGGTGGACTGGAAGCCTTAGCTTTCGAACACGCAGCATCAGACGTCACAAGTTTTAGAGATGCAACTGTGCACGTCTGGCTGCTAAGGTTACCAGCCTGCAATAATGATCAATTGATCTAAAAGAATTTTAAAGTATGCATCAGTAACTTTCAAATTTTCATAATTAACGCGCACTTTGGATTCATTTTCGATATATGAAACACTCATTGTTATAAAAATTGCATTGCGGCTTTATAAATGAAATGACACAAAATAAATTCATCACAATTAGTGAATATATTGTGCGACATTTCAGGGAAAAAATTATGGCTCAAGTAATTTCACTCACCGCAATATTCAGAAACCAGTATAAATTAAAAAGTATTCTGTATAGATAGGGTTTAGTAAAATTAATTACCTCCTCCTGGATTGCACTGCGTGTCGGACGTGGTGGAACGGTGAATCCTTCATCCGTTCTACTCGGTCCAGCCACATCCTGAAATTCAGTACTTCTTTCATCATTTTTTTCTGTAACCTGATAAGACAAAAATGCTGAGTTTGTTCATGCTATGGATTTAGTGAGTTTGTTCATGCTATGGATTAGCACTGTCAACATTAATGCCATAATTAACTTACCAGTAAATTATCATCATCATCGGGTAGCGGTGTTACAGCCGCCAAACTGAACGCTAAAAAAGTACAAACTTATGCTTATTTTATTTACATTTTGAAAAACAAAGAAAACTTTTGATGAAAGAATTCTTATTCATGAAAACTGTTGCTTTACTAGCAAAAACAATAGAAAAAATATTTTCATTGGTAGAAAAATTGAGAGCTTACCTGCATCATCCAAAACTGATTCCGCCGCGTTCCTGCCACCAGTGGAACATTCTTGATTCGTTCCACTTTCTGTGTGACCTAGCCACTAAAATTAACATTTTGATATGAGAAAAAATATTAAACAAAAATTGACAAAAAAGTATTCAGAAACCGATATAAATCAATAGGTATTGATCTTAGTTCTCAAAGAAATACTGACATAACACAAAAATTTGAAATACGAAATAGCGAAAATTTACTTACTGGTCTGCAATGCCCGTTTACCAAAGCAGCGTAGTAGTTACGGGCACAGACCATTTCTAACAGTGTGCCGTCCGGACCAAACACGGAAGCTGTGCTTGGTCCGAAAACTGATCGGATGCGGCGCTCGGCATCGTGCAGTACAACACGTACCGACGCCGCACGGCACAAGGCTTCAAGGTGGAGGTGGCAGTGCGGGCCCGTTTGGAGTGCATCAACTAAATAGTGAAATTTAATGATTTTATATCTAATTACACCAAAACATTTATCATACTTGAAGATTTTCAGCACCAAATGATTTCAAAAGCAAAACTTACTATAGTGTGACTGGCCCTTATTCGAAGTGTCGTATTCTCTGAAGGATTCCCAGTTTTCCCTCAGAAAATTAGCGGCCATTGTCTTCAGGACTTCAGCGTCTGAGCCCAGCATTACTGCGAGGGCCTGAAATAAGGTAGACCCCTCGCTAAGCACTGGGCTCAGCTCCATCCCGATTGCTGAGCAATAAGCTCGAAGTTGCTCTACAATTCAATCATAAGTGATAAACCTAGTGTGACAATACATGATATTGATATTAAAATCGAAATTTATATTAGCTCAAGCTGTGAAGATTATTCGAGATTACAAAAAATCGGAAATAATAAAAAGCATATGTAGCTGTGTAAAACATACCAGCAATAACACTGAGCACAGTGCACGCAGTCATCACTTGAGCGAACATTTTGAATCTAAAAATAATGACTTTATACTTTAATTCGAAATATTTAATAGCAATAAAGTAAAGCAAATACTTAGTGCGAAAGGATGAAAAATGTTTTTTGAGGTAAAAATAGTGAAATCAGATTGG